ACACGTAATTTGGAACATTTCATATGTACATTTTAATGAGATATGCTTAACATTAAATGAGACATCGTTAAACTAACAAAAAAATATCAAAACGCGATTTATATAAAAATATACAGTGATGTAACACAGCATTTCATACGTACTATTGTACGTTATACGCGAGGTTATATGTCTCAGACTTATTAATTTCCACTACACAAGTTATCTTACATCTATAATTGGAAAATTAGATTCTCCTTATAAGAATATAGCAATTGAATAAGAATTTAAATTTAAATCTTCTACAAAAACATTCTGCTATTAATATTGTAAAAAATATACATTGGCATAATGCTGTTGGAAGACAGTGGCAATGAATCATCAATATCATTGCCATGAGAATTATCTTTAAATTAGGCCGTTCAGAAGCAACATAGACTGAACGTTCCATATATCTGAGGATGTATGGAAGAAGTAATGTTACGTTTCTGCTAAGAGACATAACATAAAATCAAATAAGATTGAAGAGATAATGCTGATATTCTTATAAGAAAAAAATATACTTTCGCAATGGATATATGTATAGTAAAATAAGTATACATGTTCCTCATGGGAATTAGTTCAATGTTAGATTACATATAGGAAGCAGAATATAAATGAAAAATTTATCAAATATTGGCATACAAATGCTCTTCGTGGAAGAAACGTTGTGTTGGAACGGTATTATGCGAAGCCTGGTCCTAGAAAGAATGATGACTCTGTTACTTGCCAATTCAGAATTCATCAGTATATGTATTTAATTTTATTAAAAAATTTATCTAATATTCGTTATTTTTATCGCACAAAAATATTAATAAATTCGTGATGTTAAATATCTTAGAAAAATACTTCTATAAAGATAATTGTCGCTGTCTCTAACACAAACTATAATTCATTGAAATCCATCGATTTATATTTGTTTCACACATAACGAAAGTATTAAAAGTTGATTCATTTAACATTTAGGAAAAATATGTGTGACAACTCAATATTAATGCACGAAAATTTAAAAAGGAAGACGTACTTCCATAGGTACCTTGAGGACGGCGATACCAGGGACAGCAGCCACAGCAGAAGCAAGATATGCAGCCTATTACTGCGAAAATAATTCCAATCACTATAGCTGCTACAGGAAGAATGAGACTAACTCTATAAAACAATAATATATCCTTATTAAAGAAATATCTTTATCTTTTATTAGTAATTATTAAGTATTATCTTTTATTAAGTAAATTGCTATCCTAACTAATTCTATTATGTTATTTTACATTCACAAATTATGTAAAAGATTGCGCGTGTAGAATTAACATATTACATATTATTTACTTAAACTATATGTTACAAACGATTACGATGTTTTACCCAGTTGTCTTTGCAAATTCCAACAAAGTGCAGCAATAAGACTTTTTATTCTCCACATCGACGCAGCAATAACTGTTTTCCTCTGGATCAAGTAGTCTTGGGCATGTAGTAACCCAGTGGTCGAAAATGTTCCTTTCCAAAATTTCAAAGTTACAATCTAATCCTAAAAAGAGTAAACAAAAATATTTCGTTAACATACAAAACTTTTAAAATACTAACTGTTAAAAAAATTAAGAATTAAATTAATAACGAAATTAATAACGTTATTCTCCAAACAATTCTGAATTCAATACTATCTTAATTTTATCTTAATAATAATAAATAATTATTTCCTATTTACAAACTATAGGAATATTTAGCTGCAAGAACTGGTCAAAGAATTTCTGAACTTGCTAGCGTATCAGTTAAAGAACGTACGGTTGCAATTTATGGTTTACATTTGTACGTAAATATTAAATTAGGGAGAATAGAAATCTACAATGACACATGTATTTTTAGAAAAGGAACTTATCAAGTTTCGTCCGTCAATGACCTAAGAAGTTATTGCTTTGAATCCATTTTTACTGCCTCGTAAATTTCAAATCTTTTTCAATAATTTCTTCTATTTGTTCATTACATTATTCTAATAATAATACTTTTTTAATCATTTCTTTTCTTTGACAATAAGCTTTTTTATCTCATATCACATGGTACGAAGCAAAAAATGGTTAAAGTTAATAAAATAATCCAAATTAACCCTTATGTAGCCAACCAAAAAATCTTGTACCGGGGCCAACCGAGGTACCCGGGTACCTCTATACAAATTTATGGCTAAAAACGTGCTGTAGCCTTAATTATCTTTATCTATTTGATGGATATTGATTTATTTACAGTTGACGAATATATTCTAAGCTAAATATAATAGTATTATTGTATATAGTGACCTTTTGTTATCCTTAGTCAGATATAAAACGCTGGCAGCTATGCCGTTACCCTCTTTATTTCGAAGGCCAGGTGCATTGAACTAAAAAGGTAGGGAAGTAGAAGGATCTCTACATTCTTCTATACCTGAGTAATGTTCTAGAATATTTTTGAAACGAATGTATACCCAGTGTTCACAGATTTAGAACGAAACGTACGGAGGTGGGGGAAGCTCCAGCACTACTTTTTTTGAAACTCGAAATTTTTTGTGAAAATAAATAAAAAAAAAACTTTCTAATGCATAATTTTATAGGAAATCGGTCAAATAATGGGGATCCGAGACGATTTTAGCCAATATTTTTAAGAAAAAAAGTTATTCAACAAAATGTGCGACCATAGGTACCCGGGTACCTGGTTGGCCACATAAGGGTTAAAATATACAGTGTCCCAAAATAATCGCCAAATATTTCATGAGCAAGTAGAGAGGATTAAACTGAGTCGAAAAGTCCTTTAACATTTTGCAATTTTCGCAATAGTTAACAAGATATTAATTACAAAAAATTACCGAAAATTGGTCTTCAATAATTTTTTACTCAAGTACTATCAACTTTACAGAAACATTGCAAGAGACAAAAATTGTTTATTTTGTTCTTATAGAACTCTAAGAATTTTTTTAGAATTTTTTCAGAATTTTTTAATATCGTATTTTCTCATGTACAAATAAAAAAAATGCAATACTAAAAAGTTCATAAAAAATTCTGAAAAATTTTTTTTTCCGTACAAATATTTTTAATAAAAAAAAAACAGAGTTCGTGGTATCACATTATGATTATTGAATTCCGCGTATATTAAACATAATCGATCGCTGTGCGTGCACACATTTATACACACGCGAAAAATATGCGAGCGTAAAAAAGAATCGAAGAAATCTCTGCAAATCATAATCACACATTGATCTTAATCAATTACTGCTAATACTGCTAATACTGTCAATTATAAACTATAGTAACACTTATTACAAGAGAGGAATAGATCGATTGAATACAGTAATCTCGACGTTACCAACATACATAATATACACACAACGTTCTCGATAATAACATTGTGTTATCATAAACAAACAGATCATAAACAGTCAATTGTCAGACAATAGAGTTCACAAGAAACCGAAGTCGATAATTAGCAAAATTAAACTACAACAATTAAAAAGCGCGTCTTATTAACAGGAATCTGTGATAGAAAACATTTGCCGTCTATATAAATTTATCTTATCTCACTTCCTTGAAAGACCTCCGCCTAAAGAGTGATTATTTCTATTTATAATACATCATGGCATTCATAATATTACATGTATAAAGTAACACTTTTGAAGCATAAAGGAAAATTACATTGTCGCATTAAAAAGATATATATAAACGAAAATTAAAAATGAAATACGGTATATCGCGTTCATATAAATAAAAAATCAAAATTAATATAAGCTTGTTTTAAGAAACTTGGCAGAATGTGTTTTTGTGCTAATGAATAACTAACAAAAAATTTAAACTCGTGTTTTGTTTATCCACAGAGATCCTAACAAATTTAATTCCAAGCTAATAAGCCGTTTGAAAATTTTATCAATTTCTTCTTCGTCTTAATACATACAGCGATAGCTATAGCATTTTGCTAAGCGAGAGATCCGATTTCGCGAGATTCGCAGAAATGAATACGATATGCAACTTATTTCAAATTGATATGTATATATATTAATACTTTGTTTTATTAATATACTGAAATTAGCGAATAATATATTAAATGTATAAAAACGCAATTTGTCTAATTTAACAGATTATAAAATTGTAAAGAACAAAGTGCTATAAATTCAGTATGAAGTTTTCTCTCTCCAACGTCCGAGCATAGTGCCGGTATATAAAATGATTTCAGTCACATTTTAATTAATTTAATCGATAATTAATTTACCAAAAAATAATGTATCCGTATTATTTTATTATCATGGATAAAATTATATTATTTCTAATCAGTTTAATAGAGAAAAGATTAAGAATAATGAATTACGTGACCTTGAACACATTTTGCGAAGCATTCTGCCGACTAAGCAAGCAGTTTGATCGAAGTTGCCCTTGTGAGACTAGCGGTCAAGAAAAAAACGTCCAATTTTCGCTCGCGTGGTAAAAAAAAAAAAAAAAACAAACTTTTTAAGCTTCAGCTTCAACGAAAAACTTATCTATTACGGAAGAATTTTGAGTTCCATGAGCTCAAGAGACTATGTGAAGAAATCATGTTATCGTGTTTCTTAATACGTTTAAAAAACAAGATAAAAAAGTGAGTAACTATCGAGTGTTCAGGTACGCAATGAGATAAAAACATAACAATGCACAATCCAAAAGTGGATCTTCGATCATATGCAGAGTATCATTAATCATTCCCTCATAAATGTCCTATATATAAGACCTGCCTAAACGCTTGGATTGATGCATTAACGATCCTATATGTGTACATGTATGCATACACGTTCCCCTAATAAAATCGTATATGACTATTTTGCTGAACGACCTCATTTTCTTACCATGAACGTATCCCGTAAAAAGGCAAATCAGCAGCAATGCTTCCTTGAGATGTGACATTTTGATGCTGTTCTTCTAACTGAACTTCACTATTTGTAGACGCCGCTCGATGGTCGAGCAATATGCCTGGCTGTGACGACGATACACGTCTAGTGACGAATCTCAGGCAACTACCTGCTAACCGCGACAATCCGCAGTGGTCGCTGTATTCTGGTTCTATTGTATGGGCGTGAGTCATATCAACAACTATGAGAAGTGGCTTTATAGTCCAAGGGTCGGAGATTAAAAAGAGGGGTAAGAATGCGCCGCATTGGTTAGATTCTAATAAAAAAAAATAAAAAAAAAACGATCGAGAAAAGAATCTGATTGATAGATTCAAAAGTAACGTTAATCGTAAATAATATTCGATTGGTTGAGTGGCTGCTTTATTTTCCGAAAAAATGTTTAATTATACCTATATTATTCCTTTGAAATAATGTTTTTAGATACTTAAAAAGTTGCGTTACAGATTGTGAGTGAGAAATATAATTACGAAGATTAAATGAGAATAAAAAATATTGATTATATAGACGTAAGGGTTCTATAAATTAATTCTAGGGAAGTTTTGGATGAATATCAGAGTATATGTCGCCTAGTTATATCGCTAGTGTCGCAAAGGGCGGCAAAAAATGAAAACAGAATGAAATAGTTGTGAATGTGAAATAGGTGGAAGTATCGTTGGTGCTGTTTAAGAAATTAAATTTTAAATCAATAATAATAAAATCGTCATAACAATTTATTATAAAATACTTTCAATACATAAAAAATGTCCGTTGTATCACTTTTTGTTCATATTTTATATTTGGCTACAAAGCAATCACTGTTAAAAAATGTGTACACTCCTAAAATACCCCAAAACATGATACATAATAATTAATGTAATATAAGAAAAGTAATAAATATAAACCCATATACAAAAGCATAGAGAAATAATCTCAACGATAAATGTAAAAAATAATACAACTTGTGAAATATAATCAGCTAAAATGTAATTAATATAGTTTAACTGAACCATCAATGTCCCGAATCTTCATTAATGAGATCGCTGATGATGTGTCCCATGTCCACGTCATCCTTCAATACAAACGAATGTTGAAAACCACGCTGACATAATTGAGCATTCAGGCCAGGATGTTTTGATATTATATCTTTATAATATTTCACCGGAGCCCAACCGTCATTAGCACCGTAATACAACCAGAGTTTATCAGCATGTTTTGATATAGTTTCATGATCAGCTTCTTTGACACATTTAATCTCTTCCTTGGCAAGATTAATTATTCTACTCAAGGCTCTCGGATCCAGCATTTCTCGAACTGCCCTAATGGATCTATTTGGGATGCCAAAAAACAAACCGAAAATACGTATCATAAACGTTTGTAGAGTTACTGGAAACATCGATGTAAAGATCCAAGACAGGAAAATCAAAATTGGTGCCATACGTGATACCTGAGAAGATAAATATAATTACTTCTAGAAATATAATTACTAGAATAGGAAACAATTGTGTGTTGTGGGCAACAATTATAAGTAAACATCAATTAACAGTAACATATGTAACATCAAACTTCAGATTTGTTATAATTTCTCTCAACAATGCAACTAGTATATAATACATGCGTTATAATACACGTATTACATGTTTATTGTTGAGCGTGACTTAATTATAGTATCATGACATGATATTAAAGACGTCACAACATCAATGTACTGGAGTATTATTGTTAAATGATGTTCTCTCCCTCTCTCTCTCTCCTCTCTGAGTAATATTTCATAGATAAGTATAATGATAAACATGTAAAGACGTACAAAAATCTTAAAGAATATTCCATTAGGAGTGTCTGCCATGTACTCTATCGTAGGGAACAACAGATAGCACTTTCGTATTCTTTTATCAATGTCATTGTCCTTCAGCAAATTGAGTACACACCAGGCACCTATAGAATGTCCAATGAGATGTAAATGCGCATTCTCCGGAATGTATCTTTTTATGAATTCAGCCTGCAAGCATAAAATTATAGCTTTATTATAAGAGGTCAGGAGATCAATAGAAACTGCTTGAGGGCTAGAGTATCCACCTTGTGTTGAACTTGCGCTGTCAGACCATAGCACTCTGCCCACTTCTGATCGCTGGGCATAGCGATATCCAGGTTCTCTGGTGGTTGAACATGCCCAGCGTGTCCGATAACCCACACAGGTGTGTCCGGCGACGTTAATCTCGACTTGAGTGTTTTGATAAAGCACTCGTAAAATCGTGGAACACCTGGGTTCCCGGTAATGACGAGGACTATATTCTTACTGGAATGTGGTAGCGGATCTTCCTCTATCCAACGGCCTTCTGATATCACCTCGGTCTGAACCTGATTACAATTAATCATAGCTCGATGCATATTTTATCTCGAGTTGCACAACACACAGTATTCGTGTCCGTATAATTTAATGAATTTTACAATCGTTATTTTTTACGTATTGTCCGAGTATCGTTTATACAGTGCAAAAGACCGACTGAGCAAAGGTCGGTTTTATGATTATATGAATCACAATCTGCATATAACGGTACACAACTACATGTGGCGATACCAGAACTAAAGTGGAACGATGCGGTTATTCCCATGAGCCGAAATAGCTCAGTTGGGAGAGCGTTAGACTGAAGATCTAAATGTCCCCGGTTCAATCCCGGGTTTCGGCAAAAAATTTTTTTTTTCGTTTTCATTTTATGTAATTAATCAATTGATTATAATATAAAACTGATAATTTTTATTCTTCAATTTTCTTTTTTTTTTTTTTAATTAATAAAGCTTTAAAAATATGCTGTGTCTCTGTAATTGTTACAAGTGAATACGATCATGATTTTGTATGTTGCAATATATTTCGAGATCATGTATTTTATCAATAATTCACTATAATTTGTTGCTCGATGATTTGAGAGGTATATTTTTTTTATATTTTAACATTCTTTTTAAACAAGTTTTCTTACATCGATAATTGTTTTCCAGGAAATTTGCGAATGAAGCAACAGAGGACTCTGCCAGTAACGCTTTTAAAATTGCACTGTGTGCCAATTTTTAAATTTTTTCTTTGACAACTTACAGTTCATATTAAATTAGAATACGAAAAAATATTGATTGATATATTAATATCATCGATTTAATGAAACACACAGAAATATCTAAATTCAGAATATTTAAATTCAAATATCTTAATTCGTGAAGAATTATACACTTGCAGTCTGAAAAATATTAAAACACCAAGATATATGAATATAATCTTGAAACATATAAGGATTTCCAAAATTTATCAAATAGCATACATAAAAATGTTCAATGATCCAACTCGAAATTCTTGACAAATAAGTATCTCAACATTTCAAAACCTTACTAATTCCCTTAGATATTACGTATTGAAAATATCGAATATAGATCTGAAACGTTATCAGAAGATCGTGGCGTCGTAGAAGATATCTAAAAATGTAATCAAGAATGTCTCACGTTTGTCAGATACATTCGCACTATGAGCGTTACCGATTCGCTCTCCAGATTCGATGCTGGTGTCGTGATCGGCGTCACGGATCTTTCGCGTGATATCCGGTTCCACCGGAAAACGACGAGGAATAGAACAAGAGAATAGCCGGTGCCGTGACGCGGCTAGCCGCCACGACCGCGTCTCGATGCCGCTGCTTTCCATCGGAAAAGTATGGCGGCGGTAATTCGAACGCGCGTCATACAGTCCCGCGAGTGGAGGCGCACGCGTCATGGCGTTTGATCGCGCGCTCGCGGGGCGGGGCAATCGGTACGATTGTGTGTATGCGAGCGTGGATGCAAAAAGCGCACGGGTTAGCCTCGTTATCAGGGCGTGGAGCGCGAAACAGGGAGGGGGAGGGGGAGGGGGAAGCCGGCGGAGGGAGGGGGGAG